CCTCTGAAAGAAAATGGACGGCATAAAGATTAGGGTTTAAAATGAATAATTAATATACTGTTTATTCTAAACCTGGAAATGAATCCTGAGGAAATAGGGTTACCAGGTTTCAGAACTGGCCTGAAGTATCTGAGCTTTAACTGCTTTCTCAGAAAAAATGGAGACAAGTTCTTATTCACAGTAACCTGCCTCACTATTCTTCCCCATTTGAAAATACAAACCAGCCCATTTTCTCAGCAAATGGGAGCTCAACTGAATGAATGCCCCTCCATTTAAAGCATCCCTCGCCAGGATACATCCAGATGAGGCTTTTATCATGCAATTGCCCTGCTTCCTTCACAGAATTTATTGGGATACACATATTGTCACTTTCCATTTGCAACCCGACTGTGGTTTCTCACCACTTATTTTGTCTCTTTTGCTTACAACAGAAAATCTGTTAAGGCTGGAAAGATGGAATAGCTGCACAAGGCCTTTTGACCAGTAATAGCAAGAGCCATTCATCTGGAAGCACCAACTGTGTCTAAAGGTTCTAGCTTAGCTTTCTCCTGAACATGCGTTTTCTCACAATTTATTTTTATGAAGGATCTTTTAATCAAGTAAGATCCCATATTCAATGATGCAGCCAAGGCTCAGATTTACTATTTCAGTGAGAACTAGAACTTGGTATAGTGTAACATAAGATCTATTTTTTGAGAAGCCCTTTATTGATAAGTTATGCTTTCCCCCAAATACATGAAAAGAGATATAATCTGGGCCACATGTAATGATTCCTGCTATCCTGCAGCCTGGTATGATAAGACAGCCTCCTGTTAGTCACTCTTTAACCCACAATGGGCTGTGGTACATACAGGTGGCCATTTTGAATATGCAGGCCACAGCTTGTCATATTGCCTGAACCTGAGCATCAGGGGTTGTGCCTACAACATGACTTGTTCTAGGGTTATAAGAGGGTTGTTTAACCCTTACAAAACCTCCACTGGTCAGGCTCACGTGATATAAATTAGTTATGGTTTGAATATTCAAAAACCACCTGGCATGCTCCACAGCTTACCATGGCTTAAACAAACCGTAATGGGCAATAATGATCATGCAAACCAGGCCTTTTTGTCTGCTCTAAAATCCAAAGAAGGAAAAAATAAAGCAAACATAGTGTGCATGACTCTTTAATGAATTGTTCCTCAGATAGGTGAGACATTTGCAGCACTTTCTTTTGTCTCTTTTTAGGAAGCTCTGGTTTCTTCTGGTTTCTCCTAGGACTAGGAGTACTGCTAATTCTTTTATCTTGTCATAACTATACTGTTTCTCTGCAAGAGAACAAGATCCCATCGTGGATCCCAGTGTTGCACATTCTCCATTTTTCTGAGTAGTAAGACACTGGCAGGGTATGGATTGTTCTGTGGGGTGTTGTACTAGATTAAGTATAGGCAACATTTGTTTCATTATGGGCACATTTGGCAATTTGAGAAACGTTCCAGACTTCATTACAATATGGCTTTCAAGGGATTCATGCAAAAGGCCTTCAGTAAAAGATAGAACTGGGGCCTCGCTCCAATGCTCCTTTGAATGCAGTTTTCAGAACCGACAGAAACTTATTTCACAGTAATCACAGTATATAGTTCAAAAAAAAAAACACTAGAGAGAGATGGGGTTAACCTGGTGGGCACCAAGAAAGGTATGTGAGGGCATCACATTGCTTACTGTTGCACTAGAGTCTGAACTTATGTACAAATATAATTTGTGTAGAACAAAACAGACAGAGGGGGACTGATAGTAGGAGCCAGTAGCATCACCGCCTTTGTAGCACTGCTTCAGGCAGCCAGGAAACACTTAGTAGCCTGCCTCTCACCCAATCCCTTTCTTCGTTCAGTTTCAAACTTCATTTGGAGCCAAACATAGAATCAGAGCAAGTCAGAAGGGGTCTCCCGGGCCATCTAGTCTGACCCTCAGCTCCAGCAGGCTCCACTCACGACATGCCCACCAGGCTGGTCTCTGTCCTTACACAAATGAAGGCATGTTTAGTGGCAACATGTGAGAGGCTTTCTCAGTGGCTGCTCCTGCTGTTGTCCTCCTGGCTGCAGGCAAGATGCTTCTATTGTCAGATCTTTGGTGTGTAAACTGGTCTATTACTTTTTATTATTCTATCTTAAATTGTTTTAATGGTCCTATTTTTATGCTATGTGCTAAATAAACTTTCATTTTTAATCTTAAACATTCTTATCTTCATATTGTTTAATATTAAACAAACAAGGTGCATCTTGTATTCTAATCCTATGACATTTAATTGAACTTTAAACTAATTAATCCTCTTCCTTAATTAACCTGTACAAAAACCTGTACTAGTGAGATGGTAATCCCTCTCTTTCCACAATAATACAATATTTCCTGTAACATTATTGCAGGAAGTGAGATTGCCATGTTTCCTGAACATGTACACACAGGTTCTCTTTGCTTTGCAAGTGCATTTCTACACGATGGCTGCCCTGTTTGTTGCACATAATGGTACACATTATATAAATGAGGAAAGTAGGTAGGCATAAACTTAACTTATCCTCCATTTCATCCAGCAATATATTCCTATGTAAGCTGAAACAAATTTCAAATATCCATTGTGTCACTTGAACTTGGTGAGGGTGTTTTACTTGGCATGATTAACAAACTGCCTACAACCCGAAAACAGTCCATGGGCTATAATGAAAGTAACACAGTCACTGGTGAAATGGTATGATATGAAGCATAATTGAAGTGGCTGCAGGATATAGAGAAAGGAAAGAAGTTGCAACACCCTACCTTGGTAAACTTCCTGCATAAATCTTAAATGCTAAGATCCATGGGGCAGGGAATTTTTCTACTGTATTTTGTAAAATGCCATGCATACATTCTCCTTCACTCTCTAGTTTAAGACATACTATAGAGTTGATGCCAGTTTCTCCAGCCTGTTTCCACCTGCCAGTTATATTGCACAATGTCTCTTTCCCGCAGTGTGTGATTTGCTGGGTGTATACTGTTGTTGCTATTGCTGCTAAACTCAGTAAAGTAGAAAGTGTGTGTGTGTGTTATGAAGAGTGTAATAAAATGTTTGTTGGAAAAATAATAGAGTTGCAAGGGTTGTGAAGAGACACAGCACTATGTGATGCAGACAGAAAATAGAGTATGATATATTCATAAATTATATGGGATTGTGTAATCAAGTGTGCAGGAGGCACTAAATTATTCAGGATTATGAAAATGCAAGGAATTTTAGGTGAATGGATAATGACATACGAGCTTCATGAAACTTTCTAAAAACTCAAGGAAAGACTTGCAGTACACAGAAAACAACTGGCTCAACCTGCTGGAACAGTGACATAAATCTGACATTAGGAGTTAATTAGGAATTAGAAGAGGGACTGCAAATAATAATGCAAAAACTATTGTTTTTACATAAACACAATCTCTGTCCAGTCATATTTGTAATACAGTACTGCGTTAGTTCTTCAGGCTACCTGATCTCATAAGGGATATCACAAAGCTAAGTACCCAAAAATTACAGCCACAATTAAAAAGGAAACACCAGTGGTTAGGACCAACAGCAGGGGAACACAATTACTTTCATGATCATATTGTAAACCTCTCAGAAGTATTCTGCGGCATAGTGTTATGAACAGGGCTGGAATAGATGAGCCCTTTATCTCATTCTACAACTTCTTATGTTCAGATGAACTGTAGGGATCATCTGTGTGGTAATACACAAACAAAACAAGTTTATTGAGAGGAAAAAAGTGAGATATAAATACAATAAATAAATAATAAATGGGATAGTTTAGAGGGGTGGATATTGAGAGGGAAAAAAAGAGGTGAGAAGGGTGGTTTGTGAGAGAATGAGTTAAAAGGGAAATCTTGACAAAAAATACAGTGCATCCCCAACCTCAAGCAAGCCACTTAAAAATGGGCCTCAATATAGTTTTGAGTTAATGCATCCCTGGTTTCAGTGAATATGTGAGATTTTTCTTAAACCTAATCTCCAGTAATTTGGAAAATCAAATATACTCTAAGTCCCTGCATGTTTAGTCTGAAATACATCCTGATATATTCCCAAGAATGCTCCTTCACGGCTGCAGCTTCAGTTGGAGTAATTGGGAGAAAGGGTAGTAAAGGGGGACATTCCTTTTTTCACAGAGAATTAATTCATGAAAAGTTAGGGCGAAAAAAATAAAGATGAAATGATCCCCCACCAAATGTCGATAGGGGAATTTTGCGAAAAAGTAGAATTACTTCTTGATGTCTGCTCTACAGTGGAGCCCAAACGTTAAAAGGTGCAGAGCAACTCGAGAGTGTTAAGAGGGAAAAGACCCATCTTTTTGTCCAGAATGTTTTTTACTTCACTTTTCCTTGCTAAAAATGTGGGCTGGAAAGTGGGCTGGAACACTGGAAAGGCATTATCTGGCTATATTCAGCCCCATCCCTGCACAAAAGAAGACTCTTGCAATATTCAATAGACTTACTCAAAAGTAATTTCTCATGTCAACTGGAGAGGGAATATGCTAATCCGCTCCGTCCATGATGCTGATGCCCACCTTCTAGCACCGTCCGCAGTCTCCTTTACGAAGTAACTCCTGCAATTTATCCCTGTTTAATTCTGGAGAAAAGTTTCACTAAGTTCCATGTGGCTTTTTACTCCTAAATATATGGGAGCACATACAGTTATTCTATATATGCTGCAGCCGGAAATTGCACCCGTTTTAAAAGGTGAAGTATGGCGATGCTAAAAGTAAAAAAAAAAAGTTGAAAGCATGTTAAAGGTGGTTGCTGAAAAAGGTTAAAATGCTGCTTTCTGCTCATCCGACTGAACTAAAATCTTGCCAAGAAGGCCGGGCTTGGCTTTTTTCTTTATTTCGTTCCTCCCTCGGGTGGCTGAGCGCTCTGGGGTTGGGTGTAGAAGGAAATGGGAGGAGAAAGTGGAGTAGGCCGCAATAGGGAGGGAAGGTTGCTATGGCAATGCCCCTTCTGCCTCTGTCAAGATGGCCGCCAGGACCGCTCGCCGCTCCCGCGCGCTGGAGAGGTGGGCCCGGCTGGTGCGCTCTTTGTCGCGCGGCGATGACGTACTCCGGGGAAACGGAGGCAGCGGCTTCCCTCAGCAGCAACGAGGAACGGAGTTTGTGGCAGTCGCTCGCGTGAAGATGGCGGGCGTCGCCGATGCCGCCGCCCCGGGAGGCGGGGATGGGGGGCGACGGAGCGCCCCGGAACACTCGTTACTGCAGCCAGACAGCGGACAGCGGCGGAGTAGCTTCACGAGCGGAGAATCTCGGTCTCCTCACCCGTCGCCTGCACGTTTGACACCTTCTCCCTCGACCCCACCTTCACCCAATCCCGGGCAACACCAGAGAACCGAAACTCTGGGTTTCTACGAAAGCGATCCCCACAGGCAACAGAAGCGCAGTGGACCCTCAGGTGAGATGAGGGAGGCACCCGGGTGGGACTGGCAGAGCAAAGCTTAATTTATACAGTGCCAGTTGCATGACCCTGGAAAGGTGGGTAAAGGCAAAACTGCCCACGAGCAGAGAGTACTGTTCTGTCGTTCATGGTAGGTCAACAGAGTAAGGCAAAAGTGCACCTGAGGATGTGCAATGTTTATTTTGCTCAGAGCAAGAATAGGCTACAATGTCCCCGAGCCTGTGCTGAATGCTTTTTCCTTACTTTACGTCGAGCCAATAGAGTGTTCTGTCCTTTCTTGAAGTGAGGAAAGAAGAAATAAAGTGTTTAACATCTAGATAAGAAACTAAAAGGTGCAGTCAGGCTAGAATCTATTTGGAAAGACTTATAATTATGAAGTCTTCTTATTCCTAGACCTTAATCCCTAATTTGTGGGAGAATTCTTGGTGGGAAGCATATTCTGTGCCTACTCAGTGGTACTTTAATCTGTTCACTTGTTATAAGGTGAGTTGAGGTTTGGCATTGAAAACAGCTGCCAGGACTGGTTCATGGAGATGATTTTTTTGGTGGCATGAACTTCAAGTAGTCCTTTTTATTTCTCCATAGAAATACGGAACTGGGTGGGTAGTAGATTGAGAGGATTTAAGTGGTGATGACTTCTGAGCTAGGCATAAGAAAGAATGTGTGTGGAGTGAGTGAGGGGGAAACCAGAACAGAAAGTTACCTCCTCTCAAGTTTGTTTTGCTGTTTTTGAAATCAAAAGTGCAACAGAAAAGTGGAGGGGGTAACCTGTTCCTTGAGTGTGTGTACTTTTTGAATTAAGAAGTATTGTATGTGAATTAGCGAAATCTGGCAGTCCTAGATATTTGGATCTGTACAACCTTTCTGACTGAAGTCAAATGTTTGGAGAGTTTCTCTCTCTGTCTCATAACAGAAAAGCCTTGCCTAACCAATTGGCTTTTCCAAGTTTGTTTGTAGATGTGGGTACGGTCAAGTTTGGAGCAACTCAGTTTTGCAAGCATGAAGGTTGATGCTTTTGTGCGATTTAATAGCTCTTAAGTCTTGTTAAGTTAGTCACTTTCTTAGTATGCACAAGTTATGGTCCATAGTGTTTTCCTCTTTAAGTTTGTTATTAGGCATGTCAGCAAAAGCAGTTAGTTATTTTGGGGGATCTATTTTAGGCATCCAGGTTGAAAAAATTAGCCTAGAGACTCTACAAGTCTTCAAAATAGAGTGATATTGTATATAGATTGGGATGGTGTTATTGTCCATTCCTAGACATACATGTAAAACATGAACTACACATGTGGAGACAGCTACACAACTTCAAATAATATTAGTCCTAATAGCTACTAAATTTATTCCTGAGATTGGATTTGTCACTATGAGGGTGTGTGCACCCTCATATTGTGGTGTCTTAACATGTAGAAGTCTGTGTACACACACACAGGTACATGCTTGGGTGCACAATTTGAAAATGATAGTTGTCATGTCTAATTTTATCTTGTGCTAAGATTTATCATTTCTCCTAGGGTACATCTTAGTAGTTACTGAAACTTCCTTCCTTCTCTATATACCATTCTGGAGGTGTAACTCTTGAAACATGGAGGGTTTTTAAAAGCCCTTTGTTGAGGTTTATATCAGGAAAATTGTAAGGGAAATGAGCTCAATATGGTTATATTTTTTATTGGCAATAACTGTTAAATGCTATAATGTTCGTCAGATGGTAGCATAATCTGAAATGACAGAGTAACAGGTTGCTTAAATGGAAACAGCAGCATTGTTCTTTCATGTTTTTCTTACATTATTTGTTTCCAATTTTTTCTGTCACTGGAAATGCTAGGAATGTTTCATGTGAGAAAACAAATGCTGTTAAAATTGCTATTGGGCAAATACATGGTTGAACTGACAGTATATTTTGGCTTGCTTGTAGGATGAATGAATAGTTGGATGCTTGAATAGAAAAAAAATGTCATTTTTAAATGTTGCACTATCTCCCCCCCACACACACACACTTTTTTTAAGGTTTCAAATGCAGCATGCAGGTCTCTGTTTATTGCAACATGCTGACAAATGGAAACAACTTTTCTAACACCTGCATATACCTTATTTTTCCGTCTATAAGATACCCCCATGAATAGGATGCCCCCCACTTTTCCTACCCATCTCCAGCGAGCAAGCAGCTGCCGCACGCACGTGCATGCGCTGCCTCGCCACCACCCACCATTTCGCCCCCCCATGTGTGCTGCTTCACCGCCGCCCCACCCGCGCTCGCCACCTGCCCCACGCAAGCACAATCACACCAGTCTCCCCCCTCCCAGCGTGCCCGTGGTTCTCCCCTTGGCCCTTCATGTGTAAGACACATCTCCATTTTTAAGTAAATGTTTTTAAGAAATGGTAACATCTTATACACGGAAAAATATGGTAGTCCTTATTGGAATTAGAACTTATTAGTTTAGTCATATTTTTAATTCATTGTTTGCACAGGATTGCAGTTATTGATACCCCTCCCAGTCCCATAAAAACTTCTGAACCATTTGCCTCTCCAGCTTGAGAACTATGATAATTTTAGAGGCAAAAAAGGCAGAATGGGAGGTGCATTGTGGGCAACTTAGGGGAAGTTTGGCTCCATAGGGTCCAAAACATTCTGTTCCTCAGACATAACCCAGCATGCAAGTATGAGAAATGTATTCTACCCCAGAAGTTATTGTTCATATTTCATCAATGGAAAAGAGGGAAATAAAGCATGGCAGGGGATTGGATAAGGTCTGAACCTGGAAGATGGTTCTTATATTTTTAGATTTTCATACCCTGACAAATAGAATTTATTTATTTATTTAAAACATTTCTATGCCACCCCCATCGCAACAAAGCCTCGGGGCGGCTCACAAAGAATACATAAAACATACATAATTAATAATAATATAGCAATTAAAAGAAGAAAACAACATCAACAACATTTAAAAACCCCCGGTGCATTCTCAGCTAAAAATTTTAAAATACTAATTAATACAATAATTTAGCAATTAAAATAAGTTTTAAATAAAAAGGTCTTAGCCTGGCGCCGAAAAACCTTTGGTAGAATTCCTTTGGTAATGTTGCTAAGCTGTCATTCAGAAGTTCTATAGCATTCTTGAGTTATGTCACAAGGTTCACACTTTTTTTTTGCGTATGTATGAAATGGTACTAATATTTAAGTCATATCATTGGTAATTTGGCATGTTGAGAAATGTATATACTGTCTAGTCAAATAGAAAGAAATGCTTAGGTCGTCTAGTGGTCTGCAAATTTATAATTTGCTTATTTAAAATCATAGTTAGACCCCCTTAAGTGTCAGTATGATGATGTAGCCGCAAATGTATTGAGCTATGTCAACAGCACAAAAATAGGAAAAAGGCTAAAGTAGTAACATTCATGCCCATTCTCACATATCTCTGATAATGGCACCACGATTAATGGTGTAGCATGATGACAGTTTCCTCACAAGAGCCAGCCAATGTCCTCTTTTACACAGTGGAAACATGTTGGGACACCTCTTGGATAAAGGAGTATTATTAAGCCAATGCAATTTTCCATAATTGCAGTAGGAGGAGTAACTTAACAGCAATTGATATTTTTACTTCATGCAATCGTTTGTTGCCTTGTGTTGACATAGACAGAGTCCAACAGGAGTATAGTTATGGTTCTTGGTGGGTGTTTGTGTGTCAAATACCCTGAGGCAAGGTAGCTGTAAGGAAGGGGTGAGCAATGAGGGGTGGATGTGAGGGCAGTGGATGTGGAGAGAGAATGTATCACTGGGAATTTTAGTGGGTGTTTTGATTAATGATATTTCTCTTTGTAGCTGTCAAGGTTGGGAATGGTTCCTGAACAAGCATAGGATTATTGAATTTTAATAACCATTAATAGAAAAGAAACCTTCCTATTCCCCATCCCCCCCCTCAATCGCTCTCCCTGTATACTCACTTGAGGGTCAGAGGACCGTTTGAATAGCTTGGCGGTAGTTAAGAAAGGCTGCTGTGCATGGTGGGTTGTGTGCGTGGAGCTTTGCTTGTATGTGGAGGCACAATATACAAGCATATCTCCATCTTCACAGAGTGGTCAGTTAGATGCATACAGAGCTAATTCCTTGTGGTTCATTCCATATTTTTCAAGATGATCTTCTCTTTCCTCTGGAGAGCTCAGTAAGGGAAGAAGGTAACAAGATACTTACTTTCTTTGACTTTCTTTCCATTCTTAGGATTCAAACCATAACATTCCCAGTAAGTTCCACTTCTCTCCCAAGTTGCCAACAACTTGACCAAGCTAATCCCTGTTAATACATAGTTTGGTTCTGCAATGGTACTGTTTTGGCCCAGATTCCCCAGTAGGGTGGTATTATGCTGGTATATCTTTTATCTTTACAAAAGAACTTAGGGGGAAATACTTCTACCAGAAAGTATAACATGTAAAATATATATGCGCAATTGTTTATTTCTGTGTGCAGAGGTTGGTGTGGAAATATTTTAGAAAAATGGAAATATATGCAGTATTTAGACACCTAAGAACAAGAATATGCTCTACTTTAAGAATATAGGATGTACAGTGTATAACATAGCTCATAAAATTATATGTACCTATATTTAGGTAAATATAATTGTGCTGAATTTCAGTTGTGCTGAAAAGTAGAGTAGCCTTTGTTTTAATGAAACAATAATTACAAATATACCCATGCTAGAAATGAAATTTGCAATGTGAAAGGCTAGTATTAGTCCCGTTTAGAGTGGATCAATTGAAATGAATGTGATTCATAGTAGACGCACATTGAATACACTGAAACCATCAACAGTATAATAATTTTTTAAAGTGCTTATTTTCTGGGCTTGGAAATGGAACAGAAGGAACAATACATAAACCTGAAACCCATGTTCTTCCAGGCTGCTAGAGTTTGAATTGCTTTGGTGAGTGAGCTACTGTTATGTGGCAAATGTGATGATCAATAAGGCACCTTCCTTCCTTTTGAAACTGGAGAGGAGGTTAGA